AAGTCACTTGGCTGGGGCACAGTGGCTCATGCTTATAACCCCAGCACTTTGGGAGGCTGATGCGAGAGGATCGCCTGAGCTCAGGAGTTCTAACCCAGTCAAGGACAACATGGAGAAACCTCATCTCTACAAAATAAAAAAATAAAAAAATTAGCCAGGCCTGGTGGCACACACCTATAGTTCTAGCTACTCCTGAGGTGGAAGGATCACTTGAGCCCAGCAGGTTGAGGCTGCAGTAGCAGTGATCGTGCCACTGCACTCCAGCCTGGGCGACAGAGAGAGATTCTGACTCAAAAAGAAGAAGAAAAAAAAAAAGTCCTCAGAACCAGGGAGGCCAGCAGTGGAACTCTCAGTCCCAAGGCTGGAGAGCCTGGAGTTTTAATGTTCAAGGGCAAGAGGAGGAGAATGTCCGAGCTCCAGGTGAGAGAGTGACATTTTCTGATTTCTTTGTCAGCAAGTTGAAAATGTGTGGGCTCGCGGATACTGAGGTTAGTGGAGTCCTAGTTAGTTGAATAAGCTTTCCCAGAGAGTAATGATCATGGATCAAGGACAACCTAGAGGGAACCCTTTCGTTTTGAACCTCAGGGACTATTTTTATCAACTTTCACTTCTGGCACTGTGAGGGAACAAGTTATAAGCCTAGGTTCTTCTTCTTAACAAAAACTTACAATATACATAAGAATCAGAAAAAAAAGACAATAATAAAACTGATAAAATAAGCTTCTAGAAAAAAATGGCCATATCATAATCTTTCAAAAATTGAAAACCAGGCCAGGCACAGTGGCTCACGCCTGTAATCCCAGCCCTTTGGGAGGCCAAGGCAAGAGGATTGCCTGAGCTCAGTAGTTTGAGACCAGCCTGGGCAATATGGAGAGACCTCCTCACTATAATAAATTAAAAAAAAAAATAGCTGGGCATGATGATGTGCACCTGCAGTTCCAGTTACTTGGAAGACTGAGGCGGAAGGATCACCTGAGCCCAGCAGGTCAAGGCTGCAGTAGCTGTGAATGTGCCACTGTACTCCAGCCTGGGTGACAGAGTGAGACTCCGATTCCAAAAAGATAAAATAAAATGAAATAAAAATTGAAAACCATTTTAAATATCACTTTACAAAAAACTTTAATGTCCCAATGAGATTAGCTCATCCTCAAGAAATTCTCAAGAAATCAACCTCAAGAGACAGCGGAAATGAAACATTTGAACCAGAGGTGTGGCCAATTCTAACATGAGGAAGGGAGATCTTTCCCACTGCTTGGTGAGGATTCAAGAAGTAAAGAAGTCTTCACTCTTTGACCATCTTTTCTAGCCTTGCTTCTACATTGCATCCACTAACATGTTTTCGTTTTAGTCTTATCAATTGCTAGGTCAGCTATAACACTGAAAAGCAATATTGAAAAGCCGCTGCTTCTGGAGCATCTGTTGGAGGGATGGTGGGAGAGCCCAGCCCACTGCTCCAGCCCCTTCTCGCCCTCAGCTGCACTTTCTTTTCTGTCTGGCAAAAGCTTGCAGACATTCACACCTGGAAGAACTGTCCAGCAGTCAGTGCTTACTAAAGATGGGATGAGTATCACATCTTTGATACTCATGAGCTTCTTGGCCCAGGGCATGATCAGATAGTGACTGAATGACCTCCTGGAAAGATGATGTGCCAGCAATGCTGGTGCCAAGCAGTGTGTAGGCTCATCCCGGAGGGTCTTTCCTTTCGTGGCAGCCATGATTCTGTGCATCTGACACCTGCTGGTCTAAGTTTGAGTCTTAGTAACATGTTGCTTTAAGGGAAGGTTTCCAAGGAAGTCACCTGAATGGGCTGGACCTGCACAGGTAATGTTCACTTAAGCTGATCCTGTATCCCTACAGCATCCCCAAGCTGAGGAAGTGGAAATCACCAAGGGACAGATATGCAAAGTATCTTTTTGTCTGATGGTGAAGTCTCCAAGGGAGTGGGTTTGCTGAGGTCTTGGCTGGCTCTGAATCCAGTCCTGCCATGTGCTGGATGGGAAAGCTGGGTGAGTTACTTCGTCTGGAGCCCAGCTTTCTCCTTGGACGGAAGGAACCATACTTCACAGGGTTTTTGTGCAGCTTACATCGGAGTTATAAAGCGTCTAGGCCAGGGGCTGAAACCCTGCAAGGGTTCAGTAACTGATCCTTTATGTCATCCCTCCCTTTCAACTCCGTGTCAGGATGTCTGTCGTTTCTCCCCCTTGGGCCCGTTTCTCTGGGTCGTTGGTACCAGAGCTGCCTGGGACCGACTTGGCAACCCCAGGCTCAGAGCACAGCCTTCCCCAACTGCACGTCGTGGGAGGCGCCCGGGCAAGACTGGGGAGCTCGCCAACGCAGACAGGTATTTCCAGTCCGGCGAGAGAAGAAATGGGTGGAGGTGGGAATGGGGATGGTGGGGAGGAGATCGGATGAGCCGAGGACCGGGGCGGATCCCCTGGGAGGAGGGCGGGCAGCCCTGCTCCCGCCTGGTGCTCCTGCCCCCAGGCTCAGGTTTCAACCCCCGCTGCCGCCGCGGCGGCTCGCCCGTTAGAAGGGGGAGAAGGAAGGAGAGAGAAGGGAGCGGGGCGCAGGTAGGTCACAGAGCAAGGGGGGCGTGCGAGGAGCCTGGCAAGGGTCCGGCTGCAGCGGGCCGGGCA